GTTTTTTTTTCTTCAGACAAATTTCGACTTTTTAACTAGCCATTTTTGACGGAATTTTTTTCTATCATTCGAAAGGTATTGTTGTCCTGAGCTCAAATTTGAAAAGATATTTTACCTGTGATCATTTTTCGTAAAGTTACGGGGCTTAAAGATTGCAATTTGGGACAATTAACGCGCGATATATTTTGCGCTATTAACGCGTAAGCGGAGAGTTAATACGTTTTAGAAATCGTTCCAAATTGGTTAAAAGATGCTTATTTGCCATAATTGCTTTGTTACGAAGAGCGAAATCTATCCTCTTGTAATTTATATGGCGCGTGGGGATGATTTTCATAAAAAGTTTCAAATTTTAGAAAAAAAATTTTTCATTTTGTTTTATTTCAATGAATTTTTTAAGGTTATTACTGCTCCATAAACCTTAAAAGGCAGTCGGAACATTCAGGGCTTCGACCTGATACGAGCAGTTTTGTCTATTTTTGCTAAAAAACGGACTATGAACAGTAAGCTTACTAGTAAAATTTCGCAAGTGGTTGGAAAAGAAAAAAGAGCGTAGTAAGAGACGATAGAGGGATCATCCCCAAAATTTGCAGCAGCCAAATTTTGGGGATGAATAATGTTTCTCGCCCATAATTTTTCGCTAATCAACCGCACAATCCCCCCCTAAGTCACCAACAGTAGAATGTCACTTCTAGCCACTTTTAATTTTGAAAATTAAAAGTAGAAGTACAGTGCTGATTTGAATGAACCGGTCAAAACGAACAAAATTTGAAATTTTAAACGCGTTTTTCTGAAACTAATAATAATAATAATAATAATAATAATAATAATTGTCGTTTCTGCTAGTCGCAGAGGATCTATGAAAGGCTGTCCAGCCTGTCTAAGTATAGTTCGTTTCTCTTATTTGATTGGGTTAAGATAAGACAAAAAGTGAAGAGAACAAAAATTGCTTAGATTTTCACCAGAAGTAATATGGTGCAATTTTTTCTCCGAAATTCTCAACCAAAATTTTACCAAAAATGGTTCAATGTTTTTTTTGCGATTAATCAAGAATTACGCTGAAGCACATTTGTTAATCGACGAGAAAATTTTATCAAAAAGCCTCTTGAACAGCCCAACACAGTTCTACAAAGGCCAAATCTCCAAAAACCTGTTTAAGAGAAACATGTATAAGAGAACCTAACCCTTCTAGAACTTTTTTGGGCTGAGTAATAGGCTTTTTGAGATATAATTTTCTCATCAATTAACAAATGGTATCAGCGTATTTGTTGATTAATTAAAAAAAGCCTAAAGACCCATTTTTGGGGTAAAATTTTGCATCATATTATTTCTAGTGAAATTCTAAGCTACTTTTGTTCCCATCACGTTTTGTCTAATCTTAATCCAATTTGAGGAAATTGCGTTTGAAGTTTCAAGTTTTTTGCATTTTGTGCGGAAAATTTAAATCAGCACTGTATGCATTTTGAAGAGAAAAAACGCGCACAATTAAAATTGGTTTTCAAATTTTTTATGTAGGATTGCATTTGAATGCTGTTAATAAATTCAGTTGATATAATTCCAATCAATTTTTTTTACTTAAAAAACAATTAATTTTGTCTAAATATAGGCTATAATTTAGGTTATTTTCCTCAAATAATTCTCCATATTTTCTCTTCGATTTAGAAAGGGGGTATTGTACGGTTGATCCTTTTTTCTCAGACTTATTATTGCCCTGCTTCATTTGCGAAAGCGTAGCGACTAGCATGTTTGCCTATTAGCACAAATTTATTTCTTTAACTGGGTGTGCTTTCAGGCGAATAACAAAGTAGTCCAAGTTTTCGTGCACCACGTGTTTTAACAGGGAATTGAAAAGTTGTCTTTCGCCTAATTAAACATCCGACTAAGTGCACGCTGTTTTAAATTGCAAATTTGAGCAAACAAAACGTGAAAAAGCAAACCTTCAAATTAAATGCTTTGACATGGGCATGCAAATTAACACATGCTAATAGGCCGGTCCACCTCATTTGCGCTCACTTATTGGATGCTTTAAATTGCAAATTGCATTACCGAAGACATATCTTGAAAATGTTGAAGTACTTTTTACAATATGGACCCTGTTAGTTGCTTGGGACCCCTCTATCACAATTGTACCGGGGAGGTCGTATTCGCCCCCAAACTCCCAAACATCAAAAAACTGAAACCCGAAATGACTATGTTCAAATCTGATTGGCTGAAATTAAATGCTTTAATAAAACGAAATTTGAATCAGAGTGTTTGTATCGAAGCCCTGATTGTTTCGACTGCTTTTTGGGAGTAGTGCTCGCTTAAAAACTAATTAGAAAGATTTCGAAAACAATTGAAAAATTGTTAAATTGGAAATCGAGAACCATACTTTTCAAGTGATATTTAAAAATTCCATCGAAATTGGCTAGTTTAAAAGTTGTCGAATATTGTTAGCAGCAAAATCGCGCCGAGCAGAAATATTTTGTCAATTTTTACCAGATATGATTATCTGGTGCGCTTTGCAGAATTATATTTGTTTGTGTGCTTTGTCAGTAAAAATTACAAGTTTTTTTTTCTGTTAATTCATCGATTTTTGCGCAGCAAACGACTAAATTTTTTTCATAAGAGAAATTTAACTAATCGGTCACTTCAGCAAAATACATATTAAATACCCTTTTTCATGGAAATTTTTTAGCAATGTAGGGAGCGTACTTTACATCAATAAGATGTAACGTACGCTTCCTCCATTGTCTTCAAGAAAATTTTTAAATTTACTTCAGGTTTTTACAAAATTAATTTTTATATAGCTGCGCTCTGCTTTTTGCAATTTTTTTCTTTACTCAAAGAGCAAAAGTAGAATAAGAAAAAGTGAAAAGCTTGCGTTTATTCAAATGAACCATAATGTCAGCCACCTCTCCAAAGCTTTGATCATGTTTTTTTTTCACAAATAGAAACTAAATTAGATTTTATCCGAAATGATGTCAAAAATTCGTAAGTTTCATCGGGGCTGACTTTTAGCTTGTTTTGAAAGAAAGTGAGTTTTTTTATTCAAAGATATTTCTTGGCACACAGGCTTTTAAGGCGTAAACCTAGAGCTTCTGAAACCAGAAATTTTTTTTTCAATTCGTTTTTAGTCTTTTTTTCCTGCACTAAAAAGTCTGTTTATCAAAATGACTAATTTTTCTGTCAATGACAAAAAAACAGTATCTCGCAACAGTTTTTTATCCAACCTTAAGTATCTATGATATTGATTGGCCACAACAGAACCTTTTGATTACGTGGAAATCTGGAGCAATTTTTCTTAAATATGACCGAAAATGTCAGGCTTTGAGAGCCAACGCAGCAGCCTGTGGATATCGTTTGTCAGTTAATATATATAGAAAAGGTTTAAACAAAGTCAAATGTGGCTATTTGGTGACCGTTTTTTGGAAAATTTTTCACTTTTCAAAAACGACTTTGCCAAATCTGAGATTGAGAGTTAGAGAGAGAGAGAGAGAGAGAGAGAGAAAACGAGGGAGGGAATGAGGGAGGGAGAGAGGGAGAGAGGGAGGGGGAAAGGGGACAGGAAGAGTGAGAGGGATAGGGATATGGGAGAGGGAGATTGAGAGAGAGAGAAAGCAAGATTTACTAAATTTCAAATTGTTTTCATTACGAATTTTGGTGTGCCCTTTCATTTAAACTTACTTGTGCACAGATGCAGAGTTGTTTTAGTACTTAAAAAAACTCCGTCGCAAGCAATGATATATCCAAAAAAAAGGCTGTACTGAGTTTGATTTCAGCTGGTGTTCATTTGGTGTTTGATTTCGGAAGATTTATAAGTGTGCATTCCTCTGACAGAAAAGCGGTGAGTGTCAAAAGATTTTTGCAGTTACAAAAAAACATGGGTGTCCTTCAACAGACCAGCAAAATTGTAAAACATTTTCAAAATAGAAGAGAATCAGAGGAGAGTTATCAATCTTGAGATTATTAATTCAGAAATTAAACTAGCTGTCATACTTGTCAGTCGCACGCTTTTTTGCTCGAAACTACTCGTTCTGTAAACACTGTTGAAGTCAACAAAATATGCAATTAGTATTTATAATGAATTTTAGCTTCGTAAAAATGAACATGTAAAAAAATGGCTGAGAATTGATCACTTGCTGGCCACTATTCGTTTATGGCGCTAATTTTTTTCATGCCATCTGATAGTGAAAGTTTTAAACACGAAGTTGAAACCAAAGTCAATCGTTACTTTTACTATTTTTTAAGGCTGTTTGATTCGTGAAGACTGCTTCATTTGAATTTTATTGCATGAAGTATTTGAATGAGTAAATTTTTTTAACGACCACTGCCTAAAGCAGCAATCATCCTTCTTTTATTTTGATGAGAAATGGTCACATTATGTGACAAGGCAAGAGTTGAATTTTTACTATCAATTGAGCTTGAGTCGTGTTTTCTAGTTTCCGTGCTTACTGATTTGCAGAGATGCGGGGGGGGGGGGGTGATGGACGTTCTCACACCCTCAGGTATTCGACCCCCTCACCAACCAAAGAAAAAGAATCCCCCTTTGGTATTATTTTATGACATCCATTTTAGGCCGACCAAACCTAAAACTTTTCTAAAGGGGCTTTCGTTGCGAATATGTACTAATTTTGAGAGGGAAGTGCGCGCTGAAAAAACTCAATTTTTTAGTCAAAATTTTTCAAAAAGTGCCCAAAAACGGCTTTCTTGACCCGTTTTTTTTTCTTCAAAAATTTGTCTTCGGAGCAAAAGTATTTGTCAAAATACGGTCTTTATAGTGTTCTGGTAGTGCTCGGAAAATCAATTTGGTCGACTTGAAAAAAAAAGTTTGACAAAAAAGGTCCCCCGCCCTCGAGAAAATCCCAGATCCGCCCCTGCTTTTAGTTGTGTTAAGGAGGAAAGTCTCGTCAAAAGTCTGTCTGATAAATCCCCTCAAGTTTTTTGAACAGCCTGCGCTAATAGATTATTCACTGATACTTTGAAGTTGTTCAGATGATTAATAATTTGAATTTTTTGTTCTATATAAAATAAGCTATTTGAAAACAAACATTTTTATGTGGCAGTCAAGTTTTTGTTCTTTCTCCAATCATTTTGACTCTGCTTGCTGTTTCTGCGCGGCCAGTTTTTGAAGTGCTGCTAGATTGAAGCCGACCTCCCCCACCCTCTCGTGACGTCGCTGATAAGTCGGTCTAGAGCCTCTAAAAATTTGCAATTTTAGTAAAAAGTGTTACATTATAGCATATTGCAGTAAACATTACACTCAACGAGAGAAGGAAACAGTTTTCGATATTTTTTTCGATTTTTGGAGAACCGCTCCTGTGTCCCTGGTTACGAATTACATGCAATATTTTTTTCGTTATTTTTGAAGGAAGGTCAAAGTTTCCACGCCCACAGGCGACGAGTATGGATCATGGCGGGCCTCAAGCTGAGGATAGTTTTGCTAATAGGTCCAGTTTTTCTCAGCAATCGGCAAGTTTGATGTAATTATTAGCCAGAGGCAAAACAGTGGTTTTCCATGAATAGCTGAACAGCTGCAACCTTCACCATTTCCTCCTAGTTGGTGTAAATGACATAAATCTAACTGAATATACCTGAATATGTAATCTAGACTGGATGATGACTCATTTGAGATATCGCAGGGGGAGCCCACATAGCCCATCACGCCGCTATCCCCACCCCCCTGCAACACCTTCACCTTCTGGTGTCTCTCTCCGTTCGGCCCACTGTACAGGTGTCTCAAACTGCGGTCGTCCGTCGGGCCAGCATAGGGGTACACGTCATGACTCGTGATTTCCGCCACGCTTTTCGTCGATTCTTTTTCACCACTCATTCTGGCTGATTCGGGTTTGGGAATTTTGGGGTATTTTCTGTTATACGGCTCAAAACTAATTTATTTGTTAATTTGAAAATTGGAGTATTGCTCGAATTTAATTGGTTGGACTTATTTTCAACAAAATATTAGCTGAATTTGCATTAAAATCATTAGCTGATATTAGCTGAATTTGCATTAAAAACATAATCTGAATTTGCATTAAAGTTCAATTAGAAAATTGGTAATTTTTGGGCCGTAAAACAAAAAATACCCGAGTTGTTACCGGCTGGTTCCTTTGGCTTCCGAGTTTTAATGGAGCACGAGTTATTAAAATTTATAAAAAGACCAATTTACAAAATGACAATTTATCAGCTTTAATTGCGTGATTAGTTAGTTCTTTTTTCTAAATAGCACGATTTTTTTTATTAAATACCAATTGTGTTCTGTTCAACCGTCTGTTTTGTGATGCAAAACTAGAAGAGCGTCAAAGGACCGGTTAATTATGTATGTCTGGATATAAATCTCTTGATAATCGTCCATATAATTTTCGAAACATGTATATGAGAAGTATATTGAGCTGCTCATATAGAAAAACTAAATCTGCTTACGTACGTACTATATAACTGGTATTTGAGCTTGGTTCAAATTGACAATAAACTGGTTCAAACTGGTTCAAATTGACAACAAGACTGCTCGTGTATCAGGGCAAAGCCCTCAAGATTGACCTGCATTTTAGAGCCAATTTAAAAGTTTTTTGGGTGGAAAATTGACGAAATAATCAAAAAAATAAAACCAAGGTTTTACTACAATCTTTTTCCTTCAATTTATCCTCCCGCATGCTAATGTAAGCTACAAAGAGATGTATATAGCGTCTTGTGTTCGAATGATTTGACCAAATGTCTTGCCCCAGTTCAATTTGGAACGCATTAATACGCCGCGTCAAAAATATTACAAATTGCGGGTTACAACCGCAATACTATTCAGATAATCATCAAGATTAATGAGGTCAAAATCATCAGAATTTTTTAGTCATGAAAACTCATCTGCATATTATCTAATCGGTCAATATTAACACTAATGACCTGGATTTATTTTCGTACTTTGAGATTTTCGCGATTTACTTTGAGATTTTGAATACTCAATTTTGATTGGCTGAAAGTAAGCTGAAATTAATTTCAAGCATTCGGTCCTTCAAGCATGAGGGACGCCACCATTCGCCACTCGTAAATAATGCGCGTTAAACTTTCAGCCTCAAAGTGTCACAGCGCTCTTATAGTCACGTTAGTCTATTAGTGAGCGTTTCACCGCGATCGTTAAGAGAGGATAGACGAATGGTGAGCGCGCCACTTCAGGGAACACGAAGATCCGTGGATCGATCACTAGAGGGAAATTTCTCTAAGAAATGGTCTGAATAAAAAACCACAAACATATATATGCCTCATTTTCTTTGAAAATCGGAAAAAACCTACCCCAAGCATAGATATTCCGCATTTTCTTGGAAAGTCGGAACGATAAATTTTGGGTGTAGATTTTTTTTCAACATATATGTTTTAGAAAGCTGCAGTAATGATCTGAAACGATTGCAAGTTTGAAACTTATATTTAAGTTAATTTCAGACAATTTATCCACAAGGGAAAGGCCTAAAATACGAGCTGATCACCCATCACGGAGAACCGCTGTTGTGCCTCTGCTTAAGAACTGCATGCAATTATTTTTTTAATATTATTTTTGTTAAACTTATTTTTCATTGGAGGAAACAGTGATTTTCAGCCGAGTTGGTTGAAAGTTGAGTCAAACACCTCGACAAAGGGACTAAAGTTTTTTCCAGAGCAAGTCAGCTAAGAGAAAAAACGAGGAAATGGCGTTTGAATACAAATTTTATTAGTTCGGATCTTTTTTTAGACGAGGACAACGGAAGTACCTCGGGTTCTAACGGAAAGAGTGACGACGACGGCGATGACTCCTCTACGGACGAACAAGCCGACGGCGACTCGGCCGAAAACGTTGCGGCAGGCGAAGATGATTTCGGGTTTGCAGAGACAGAACAGGTGTTGCGTCTCCAATCCGCCGACTATTCGAGTCAACCCGGAAACCGAGTGAAGAAAATCGAAAACGAACTCACAGAGAAACTGTTTGCATTTATTTCCAAGTAAGAACTTAATTTCACCAATATTGCAAAAATTGTAATTAACAGTAAATAACTGCTCGCTTCGCAGATACTGTTCTTAATGTTTTATAGTTAAAGCCAATCCATTGGCCCAAGCGATGACCGCGAGCACCTCACGTGCTGAATTGAGTGAAAAATTGAATTTTGACTTCAAAAAGAGCAGCTTTAGTTTATTTATCTTCGTTCAATTTCTATGGCCAAAAAATATTGCACCAATCAACATTTCGGCATTAACTGTACAAATTGATTCAAATTTGTATCGATATTCCGAAATTTGATGGATGTGTTCATTATTTTGAATGACAGCCAGACGTGATAGTTGCGGGTATCGCTCTCAATCATTAATATTTCGGATCTTTTTAGGAGTTTGACCCCAGAACATCGTCTCATTTTCTCAGCGTTCCTCGCTCTCAAAATGAAATGGTCTGATATTACAAACGACGAAATAATCTTCCTCTTCTACGGGAATCTTCAGGAACGCATGGATTCCAAAGGTCTCGAAGACTTCGGAATCTCGGCAACCCTTCCTGATTGGCTGCCGAAGGACAGGTTCGATGACGTTATTACTGTCTCGCTTCTGCAGGACTCGCCTCTTAACGGACTGTGTCGTGAAGTAGTTGAGCACCACGACGAGTGGAAGGACTGGTTTATGAGGGAACAGTGCGAGAGTTTTCCAATGCCGAGAGACAATGACGAAGATTGGAAGGATATTCACAAGCTGATTGTGATTCGCCTCTTGAGACCCGACAGGTTTTGTGCCGCACTCAAACTCTTTGCCCAGGTAAATCAAAATAGATAGCGGTTTGATTATAAGTTTTATGACGATATGGGAATTTTCATTGCCTTTGAACAGCTCTGTAATCTGACTAAATTTAACAAAAACAGTGAATGAATGTAAACTGTGAATGAAATAACTATGAATGTTCCAAAATTTTCTTAAAATCACAATTTTAGATTATTTTCGAACTTTAAATTAAGTCCCTGATAGTTATTTTAAAATACGAGTGTTATAGGACAACTTGCCAATCATAAACGACATGATGAGTTCGAACGCAGATGAGAAGCCGGACTCCCAGTTGTTGGATCTTATCAAGTCCAACCCTGGCTTTGTCGTGTCTCTTCCTGGAACCGGCTTGGAGTCCACTGCAAATCTATCGAATGTGGAGCACATGAACATCGAAGACGATCTGGTCGAGCGAATTGAGAAATTAGCTGAGGTAAAAAAAGTACTACTTACTATATGTGCGGATCATGCTTTTTTCTATCATGCTCAGCGCGTGAGGTATTCGTTCTATGCGCAAGCTACTGAGTGTCAATGAACATAGTCAAGACACTTATATAGGTCTTGGTTTCTTTTAGGAATAAATTATTTTTCGCCTCCAGCAACAACAAAAAAACAACTTCTAGTTTCAAAAGTGGGTTTTATTTTTTTAGATTTCCTACCTGAACTAAAAAATTAATCCAGTTTTATCAATTTGGATTCATTATCATAAAAATGTCTATCATAAATTATTCTTGAAATTCAAAGAGCTTTAAACGTATGTAATTTTGTTCTGACTTTCGATACGAAAGTAACAGAATATTTGTGCCCGATGAGGTTTTTTTTCTTCAGACAAATTTCGACTTTTAACTAGCTATTTTTGACAGAATTTGTTATATTCAAAAAGTATAGATGTTTGAAGATTAATTTTGAAAAGATATTTTAGCTGTGATCTTTTTTCGTAAAGTTATGGTGGTTTAAAGATTGTAATTTTGGCCGATTTGGGACAATTAACGCGCAATATATTTCGCTCTATTAAAGCGTTAGCGGAGATTTAATCCATCTTAAAAATCTTTCCAAATTGGTTGTAGGAAGCTTATTTTTCATAATTTATTTGCTACTAGGAGCGAATTCTATCACTTTGTTTTTATATGGCGTGTGGGGGGATGATTTTCACAAATCTAAAATAAAAAAAATCGTTTTCTTTTATTACATTCAAATTTTTCATGTTATCACTGCTCCATAGACCTTAAAAGGCAGTCGGAACATTCAGGTCTTCGCCCTGATACGAGCAGCCCTGTTTCCTTTGAAGTTCGATTGTTGAAGTTTTTTTCAAAACACAAGCCTCGCGTTCCTTGAATTTTTTTCCATCTTTGGGCTATTTTTGGTACTTGCTGGCTTGGCTTGTGGAAGCAAAAGATTCAGTTTAGTTTTAGCTCGGTCAAACTTTGAAATCAAAACTGAGTAATTGAAGCATTTGTGTTGATGTGAGCGAATTTCCGCTATTTAAAATTAATTTATTTTTCAAGCATACATACTGAACTTTACATAAAAACGCTTTTCTTATAATGCGAGTTTTTGTTCCTACTTTCATAGCGAAAGTAACGGAACAATTGTGCTCGGGGTGGATTTTTTTCTTCAGACAAATTTCGAATTTTTAACTGGCGACTTTTGACGGAGTTTTTTATATCGTTCAAAAGGTATTGTTGTCTTGAGCTTAAATTGGAAAAGGTATTTCACCTGCGATCTTTTTTCGTAAAGTTATGGGGGTTTAAGGATTGCCATTTTTACCAACTTGGGACAATTAACGCGCGATATATTTCGAGCTATTAACGCGTAAGCGTAGAATTAATCCGTCCTAGAAATTGCGTTTTTCTTGATTAATTTAAAAAACCAAAAGAGCCATTTTTAGGGTAAAATTTTGCACCATATTATTTCTAGTGAAATTCTAAGCAACTTTTGTTCCCATCACGTTTTGTCTAATCTTAATCCAATTTGAGGAAATTGCGTTTGAAGTTTCAAGTTTTTTGCATTTTGTGCGGAAAATTTAAATCAGCACTGTATGCATTTTGAAGAGAAACAAGACTGCTCGTATCAGGGCGAAGCCCTGAATGTTCCGACTGCCTTTTAAGATTTCATGAGCAGTAATCACAAAAAAAATTAATTCTAAAAAAAATTAAATTAAATTTTTTTTTCTAAAATTTGAAGTTTTTTTAAATGAAAATCATTCCCCCACACGCCATATAAAGTAAAAAAAAGATAGATTTCGCTCCTTGTAATAAATCAATTATGGCAAATAAGCATCTTTCAACCAATTTGGAACGATTTCTAAGACGGATTAAATCTCCGCTTACGCGTTAATAGCGCGAATTATATCGCGTGTTAATTGTCCCAAATTGGTCAAAATGGCAATCTTTAAACCCTCATAACTTTACGAAAAACGATCACAGGTGAAATATCTTTTCCAATTTAAGCTCAGGACAACAATAGCTTTCGAATGATATAAAAAATTCTGTCAAAAATGGCTAGTTAAAAAGTCGAAATTTGTCTGGAGAAAAAAAAACCCACCCGAGCACAAATATTCCGTTTCTTTCGTATCAAAAGTCGCAACAAAAACAAATTTTTTTTGGGACTGATTTTCGGACGGTTTTTTCGTTCGTTTTCATACTTTTCCGGACTGTTTTGCATTGGACTGTTTTGTACAGACATGAAAATTTTTCAGGCCAAATATAATTGGAGAACAATTAAAGGGCAGATGTAATATTAGGGGACTTGTCCTGATATACGAGAAATCTTATTGTTCCGACTTTCGATACGAAAGTAACGGAATATTTGTGCTCGGGGTGGGTTTTTTTTTCTTCAGACAAATTTCGACTTTTTAACTAGCATTTTGGACGGAATTTTTCATATCATTCAAAAGGTATTGTTGTCTTGAGCTCAAATTTGAAAAGATATTTCATCTGTGATCATTTTTTGTAAAATTATGGGGGTTTAAAGATTTCCATTTTGGCCAATTTGGGACAATTAACGCGCGATATATTTCGCGCTATTAACGCGTAAGCGGAGAGTTAATCCGTCTTAAAATCGTTCCAAATTGGTTGAAAGAAGCTTATTTGCCATAATTGATTTATTACAAGGAGCTAAATTTATCTTTTTGTACTTATAATGGCGTGTGGGGGATGATTTTCATTTAAAAATTTCAAAATGAAATTTTTTTTTTTTAAATTTTATTACATTTAATTTTTTAATGTTATTACTGCTCCATAAAAACTTAAAAGGCAGTCAGAACTTTCAGGGCTTCGCCCTGATACGAGCAGTCTTGTTTTCTTTTCAGACTAATTTTTGTTTTTTCTTGCTGTTTCAAATTCCTATTTGCCATTTTTGCTTTTGTTTGCAAAGTCCAAGTTTGTTCTATGTAAATTGTTCGCTTACAATCTTTTTGTTTAGATTCCTATATTTGTTTAATAAAGAACGATTTCTGACATTAAAAACAACCGCGTCTTAGACTAAATTATTAAAGTGTCAATTATTTTACATATCTAGGCCGTGTCGTTTTTTTTATATTTCTGGAAAAGTGCAAAAAAAAAACTTTAACGCTCAAAGCAACTCTTTTTTGTTTCAGCTGGCGGTGGACGAACAGGTGAAAGTGAGTGTGATAGACCCAGTGACTGCACCGAGTACCACTCACATGCTGGAGATGGTTGAGAGGAAACTGGGACAGTCCAGAGATGCGGATTGGGTGGTGGTGAGAAACTTCTCCTCAACAGACACACAATTCCTCCAGAGGTTCTTCTACACCTTAGTCCACGTCACCCAATCTGAAGGTCAGTCAAGATCAAAACGGGTTCTTTCGGATCTCTTTAAATCCCCCCTCATTTTTGTTAAAGGGGGAAAGTTCGCTACTAGATGGAACATTTTAAGGGAATGTCCCTCATGTAGGGGAATGTCCCACGTTTCGCCCAACACATATTTCGCCCCTCTTAAATTTAGTGGCACATTTCGCCCCTAACTTATTACACAGTTAATTAACCGCCGCTTTCTTAGTTTACGATTTGAGGGGACGAAATGTGTGACTTGTAGAGGTGGATATTTGTTAGTAGGCGGAACCACAAGAGTGAAATTAATAACGAGATCCCTTCATTTAAGTTAAGCGTAAGCGAAGTAATTTCTTCGCATATAGATTTCTTCGAGTCAACTCTTCAACAATTACAGGCACGCAAAAGGCATACATGCAGATATGCAGTGGCATCAGTATAGTCACACATAGGGGCACACATACAGACACATGTGAAAATTTTTTCTCCGCTAAATACAAATTATTTTACTTGATCCTCTTCGATAATTTTTTCGTGGTTTTAGTCAAGAACTGCAACTGCAAACTCTGGCTTCTGGGCGAACCCAAAGCCGAATTCAACATTCCAAACTCAGTTAATTTATGTGCCATATCTTACGACACCATGTTGGGCAAGCCTAAATTCGGAGTCGATCTTATAGACGCCACGACTCAGAGCTCCGATGGCTCGGAACTAAACCTGAAGCCTGAGTTCTTGAGTCAAGCGATTCGGCAGAGTGTCAAAATGATACCTGATGATGTCTGGAACCGAGTCAACTCTTCAAATCCGACGATTAGAAACTCGGTTCTGGCGCTTTGTGTGATTAATGGAATACTCGTGGCGAAACAGTGTTTGTCCACACAAGGGCTGAGCAAGGTCTATGCGCTCTTGGGCCAAGAGTTACTTCAAGCGGTTGAGAAGTTTTTGTCAAGTGTTGGTCCAAATGATAGCGGAAGTAGCTCTTTAAACAAGATTATTGATGATGATTCTATGACTGTTATGAGGGGAACCAGCAGAGAAAAAGCGAGTGAAGAACTCGTGGAGTTTTTGGTTCAAGTGAGTTTAAAATTATTAAGTTTCTTTTCGCAGTTTTCGTTTAGTTACACATTGAATAATCCAAGGATCGTTAGCTTTTAATTTTCTTGAAATATTCTTAAATCAAATATTTATTGCATATAATTTTTGAGTCGTCTTAAACATCGATTAAAATTTATAATGAAAGTGTTAATAAATTAAAAGAACAGACGACGATTTGTAAAAGATTGAAACTCCGTTATAATGGATTATAAACTACCTTTACTATCTACAAATTAATTTTTATTCAAATTTTAATTTTTTGTTTCATAGCACGTGTACGGGCGACTTCTGTCCAACGAAAGCGACTTCTTATACGTAAAAGCTCTCCTCCTGAACGCCTTCGTCAAATCAGACCTGAAAGAGCGAGTAAACTGTCTGCGCCTGTACAGTGTGCCTCTGCCCCCCGCCAATCTGACAGACAAAAACCAGGTGGGAGAGTGGTTTGTGGATAAGTGTGAATGGGGCAAGTTCACTTCAGCTGCGTATTTGGATGTGTCCAGTCAAGGATTGAATGCTGTGTGCAGAACCAAGTCAGTAGAATAATCATTATAATAATAATTGTAGTTCCTGCGAATCGCAGAGGAGCTATCAGTAGGCCTTAACAGTCCTGTCGAGGATAGTCCATTTGTATTATCTCCCCACATTCCAGACAGTGTTATTTTGCTGAGCGAAGCTGTTTTTTTGTGACTCAAGGCCGTTTTTTTGCGCCTAGAACTTTTACGTGGTACCACTATTGCAGCCAAATTTGGTCAGGTTGTGGTAGACCTGAAGCTGGAGATCAAGTGAGAGCTTTTCCTCATACACTATCATTGCCATGGCATGGGATCGAATACACGATCTGACGATTTCAAAGTGAACGCCTTACCACTGTGCTAAGTGCTAAGTAGAATAGTTCTAAGTCAGTGAATTATCTTTCAACGAATCTGAGCGAAGTTTATACTTACTTAAAACTGCTCAGATTGATATTAGAATTCAGTTTGACCAGTTTTCAATGCAGAAACAATGCCCACAAATTTGGCATAACTATATACTGGTAGTTATAGTCGAGCGCATATATTCGCCTGTAGAAAACTAAAAACTATTTTTAGTAAGAAAACTAAAAGCTATACCAAGATCACTCGGCAGATTCCAAGTTTTTGTTAAGTTTTCGTCTTTTTGTACCTTTCGAAAGGTTAAAATTTTTTTATACATATAAAAAAAATATTTTAAAGTTGTCTCAAAAGTTAGAACTTGGAATCAAGTCAAATTAGAATTGATTTAATCCTTTTTGTATAGCCTTTAAAGTTACCCTCATTTTTACTATCTAGGAACGAATCGACCTTCAAATGGATCTCGACATTGGGCAGTGTGTACCGCCCCTTAGTCCCCGGTGCCTTCAGCGGCTCACCTGACCTTGAAAATGAGGTCACTCAAGCCAGGATGTCCATTGATCTGTGTTACGACCACTTGCCTTCGCTTCTCAATGTTGCCGAAGACGAGACGTCGTTGTTCGTGGAGCCGACAGTGCTTTCCTTCCCTTACCATCCTCCGAGCAGATTCAGCTCAACTGTGATTAGCTCGGCTGAGAGTGGTTCTAACCATATGATGTCCATGCTACTCCAACAGGCAAGAGTTACTCATTCCATGTGCATTCTAAATTATAATGATAACCGTAATAATCATCACTTGAATAATTATAACATTAATAAAATTAACACGAATAATTGAAACGTTAAAAACTTTAGCATTAATAAATTTTACCTGAATAATTATAGCAGTAATAATTTTTATGTGAATATTTATAACCTTAAAACATTATTAATTTTGGATTACTATGTTGACATGTTTTTAATTTTAGTTATTTTTACACTAGCGAGCAGCTAGTGTTTTAGTACGCACCTTCTTTTTTTTCTAATCTAACTCGCAAAAAAGTGCTAATTGAAAGTAGAAAGTGTTTTCGTATTTAGTGGCAATTTTGCTTATAATCACGACGCTTAGCATTGGAAATTTCATAACATCTGTTCTCTGGTTTATTTGTGGCTAGTGTTTGTCATCAATAAAGCGTCCTTGGCTGAGTGGTTAGTTCGTGAGATTTAAAATCTCTAGGTTGTAGATCGAATCCGAGACGTAGCCGAATTTTTACTAATTCGTGGCTTATTTCTACTTTTTTTGCATTTTATGAAGCTGCTTTTTTCGTGTTCTCGCTAGGGTTTTCGGAGCGAAGCCTCGCCTCTGTGTAAGTGACTATATTGGCACTAATTTTTTTAACATTAATTATTTTAAGTTATAATATTGACATTAAAAAATTTTAACATTCGTTATTTTAACTTGGTATACTGACATTGATATTTTTTTGATATTTTTATAAGTAATTATTTTAAGTTCCTGCGTTAACATTAATAGTTTTTACACTTGGCAGCATCTAGTGTATTAGTACTAACCTTCTTTTTTTTCTAACCTAACTTGCAAATAAAAATGTTCATTGAAAATGTTCACTTATATGGAAATTTCACTGTAGCATTGGAAATAGCATAGCATCTGTTCTCTGCTTTATGTGTGGCTAGTGTTTGGTAATAGTTAAGGTTCCGTGGCTGAGTGGTTAGTGCGTGAGATTCGTAATTTCTAGGTCGAAGTAGGAAGTAGGTTCGAATACGAGATGTAGCCAAATTTTTATTAATTCAAGACTTTTTCTACCTTTTCTTATTGCACTTTATAGAGCTGCTTCTTTGCATTCTTGCTAGTGTTTGCGAAGCGAAGCCTCTTCGCCTCTGTTTAAAAAATTATGAAGAAAAACGGAATGATGACACCATCTTAAGGCTTATAAGCTAGCATGATGACAAACCGCAATTTTGTTCGTGTTTGTGCAGAATTGAATTTTGTCAAAAAAAAGTTATGATTACATTGAATTTTTTTCCTATTTTTAAATTTTAATCAGAAATGTATCGGAATGTTACAGTTGTTATGCAATTGTTATTTAATTTTGATGTTAATTACGATTTATTTTCAAGTTCAGTTCATTTTTTTTGTTAAAAGGAAGTCGAACTCCACTATCGAACAGCAAAAGTGTAACGAAAAATTTGATCGACATCTAGTTTCGAAAGTGGAATTCAACTTTCAGATTTCCCAGCGAAAAAAAAGTATTTATTGATCGAGTTTTTCAACTTGGTTTTATTTCATCAAAAAATTGCCAGCCGTAAAATGTTTTAGAAATTCAGAGAGCTCAAAGGGGATTTTTTTCCTGGAAAGTCGAGAAGAAAACAAGTCAGTATTTTTTTTCTGTTTACATGCGTTCATTGACTTTTTTCCATCTGTCTGTTGGTTATGTTTGATCTTTTATTGATAGTTCCAAAGTATTGGTTTTCAAATAGAGCAGTCTAAGATTTCGTTCAAAACCGTTGACCGAAAAGGAAAAGTCCTGGTAACAGTTTGGCGATGAGTATATATAATGGGACTTCTCGTATCGGGGCGAAGACTTGAATGTTACGACTGCCCTTTAAGGTCTATAGAGTAGTGTTTGCTTGAAAAAGAACTGATGAAGTTTCAAAAGCAAATAACGAATTTCAGAACAAATATATATCTTTGTTCTATATAAAGAACAAAGTGATACATTCGATCTGAATTTCGAAGAAAGCGAGAAGTATATGTACTCAGGGTATTTTTTCTAATTGTGACCAATTTTCAAAAGAGAGTTTTTCTCTCGGGAATCCGATCTCAGGATCTTTGTGGGCCCCTTAAAGCTCGCAAACCACCATATTAACCTGACACGAATGTAGGTAATCTGCTCGTTTTTATAATTTGATACTGAAAATGTAACGTGCAGTATTTACGCGTGGTGAATTATCCCGCCTTATAAATCGTTCCAAATTGAATTAAGACAAGCTCACTGGTCTTATCATTTTTATACACGACTCAAGTTTTTACATTTGAAATTGGAAATTGTCAGCCTGAAGTTCATTATTTTTCAATATTTCATTAACCAATAAAATATTCGAGATCAGTTATTAGCAGTCGGAACATTGAGGATTTTGCCCTGATACAAGTAGTATTGATCGCATGTAGGAAAGTATTAAATAGACCAAATAGCATGTCTTAATTCAATTCGGAACGATTCGTAAGACGAATTAAATCTTCGCTTACGTGTTATTAGCACGAAATATAACGCGTGTAAATTATTCCTATTTGGCAATTATTAAACCAGCATAACTTTGCATCAAATGATTGCAGGTGAAATATCTTTTAAATTTGAGCTCAAGACAACAATACCTTCTGAATAATATTTAAAAATTGCTCAAAAAGTGCTAGTTCGAAAGTCTCCCCGTCACTTTCTTTGAATAAAAAGTAGCAAAAAGTTGGAACTAATAGAATTAATTAAAAAGAGCAAAGGACTTATTTCAGAGAAAATGTCGCATGCAAACGCTTAATCCCAAAATTGGCAGATCAACCTTTTAGATTAATTGTTAGATTTTTGTTACATATCAATGCTCTGGATAGTTTTTTTATTGAGACCAATTTTTCAAAAGTCTGGCCCCTCGCATCCCATAGTATCCTGTCACTATTCCGACTAAACTGCTCGTTTCACAATATACACGCGTGGCGAATTATCCCGCTCTACAAAATTGTTCCAAATTGAATTGAGGCAGCTAATTAGTTTTATTCATTCCTTACACGACTCAAATCGTAACTCAAACTTAAATATGATCAGCTTAATATCCATAGTTTTGCCAATACTTAATTTATCAGAAACTATTCGAGACCACTTAAATGGCAGTCGGAACATTCAGGGCTTTGTACTGATACGAGCAGTCTTGTTTACTTTGTATTTCAAAAGTTAAATTATTTTCTGTCTCTTTGCGTTCATGGACTTTTTTCCAACAGTGTCGTGGCTTTTTTCTCTTCAGGAAAACTAATAATTCTTGGTTTTTTTTTCGTCCAAAATACTGTTTACCCATATAATGTGTGTATTTGCTTTCAGGAGTGTCTATTTTTTAATGAGTGGCTCTGCTTCATTCGCCAGTCTCTGCACCAGATAGAGGCCAGTCTTCTCCGGGGAATCGAGTCCCTCCCACCCCACTTGCAGACAGCCGCGCACTCTCTGGCCAAAGAGGAAGTGCCTCTCAGCTGGCTGTCGAACTGCCACACTCCCTCCACGCACACATTGTACTCATTCCTCAAAAGTGAGTGGCCATTTATGGATCTAAGTTGGAATATTCGGCCAATCAGAGTCATCTATTTTTTACACCCTGTACTAAGCTGTGAATGGTGTGATAAAGATTGGTTTCATTAGTACAATTGAAACTAATTTATTTAACACATAGTTTGTTTTTTTTTCAGCAAAAGACAGTTTAAACAAAAATCTCACAAAACCTGATTTATAGTTCAGGCAAAATTGTTGGCAATATCGGTGACCTTGAGCAGTTAAATCGGTCAAAAACTATAGCATTTTAGGTTAAATAGTTTTTCGGAAACCGTTTTTACGAGTTTAAAGTTTATTAACTTCGTTCAGATTCGTTGAACGAAAAGTTATTGCCACTGCCAACAATTTGGCATTAACTATACTTAACAATGTCCCCCCATTAAAATTTCTCCCTGCAAAAAAAAAGAATTCTCAAAAAAAGCTCTAGTGCTAATTTACTGTTTTTTAGAGCAACTCTTTCGTAAATTCCATAGGGGGATTGTTAATTAGATCCACTGAACCTATTGATTAACCGGTAGTTGGCCAACAAGCCGAAGGGCCAAGAAACCGAAAATAAGATTACCATTCCAAAAAGCCGAAAATTAATATTGTTGTGCATCATAACAACAGATTGTCACTGTTGTTATGCGATTGTTACGTAATTTTGATAAAATTTACGTTATTCTGATGTTTTTTCAGATTTACGATATGCTGCTGGTTTGTAGATATGGCGGTTTTTTGAATATCAGGCCGATTAAAATTTTCAAAAAAGTTCAAGCCCGAAGTTCACTTAACAGGAATTTACAATTAAAAGATATGGAAAATTTATAGTTTTTAATTTAAAAACCACATACAAAAATTCGTTCTTCGCTTATGTTTCCTTGAACTCGCTAGCGCTTCCTGAAACCTGTTTTGGCTGTTACGGATAGACCGAATAAAAAAAAACATTCAATAATGATGTTGCGATTATTTCGATTGTTAGAACAATCAAAATGAGTTGATTCATAACGAAAAAGGTGATTTTTGAATTGAAGTCATTTTATGCAATGATCGTCAGATATCTACAGAAGAGACTGAAAGCGTATTTAAGTTATTTTTTAGAAACATCAGTTTTCTGAAAACAAAATGAGGATCTGCTTAACAATTCCCCTCCCCTATGGTATCTACTAAAGAATCTCCACCCCTATAAAAAAAATACAGTAAATGAGCACTACAGCTTGTATTGAAAATTCGAATTTTGCTGCATTCTGAATGGTCGAAAAAAAAGTTGAAAGGGGGGAGGTTGTTAAGTAGATCCCAAAATGAAGCATATATAATATTTATAGCAGTTCGTGTTTTTTTGGGCGTCACTTTGGAAAAATCTATGAATGTGTTTTAGATTTAACTGCTCGCCACGAGCAGTTTTCGGACTGGTTGCGAAGGGGAGTTGTAGCTAGTAAGAGGAACCCCAACCCCAATGGGACGGGGAGGGGCGCTTTGAAGGAGATCTGGCTCGGAGGCCTCGTGAACCCGACGAACGTCCTCTGTTGTCTCAAGTCGACGGCTGCGAACAAACTTGACTGTCTTATTGATGAGGTATGCGAATCATTCGGTCCCAAATTTCTAATATTTTATGAAGTCTCGAATGTGTTTTTCAATCTTGAACCATCAAAAGTAAATTTTATCAGTAATCATAAATTTCAATCTTATCATTGTCAATCGTTGCAAAAATTCTTTCAACTATACTTAAATTATTTGTCTCTTGATCAAAATGTTCGAAAAAACTTCAAATTGTTTTTGTTTTATACAAAAAACATACAATACTTATTCAATCCATGATAAATTTTGGGTCATTCAATACTGTTCCTTTTAGATCGTGTTGGACTTGGACTTTTCTACTGAACTTTACCAACTGAAGCCACTGTCTCTCCGAGGCAATGAAGATGACCCCACCATTGTACTTCGCTATTTATACTTGGAGGGTTCCACGTGGGGGTTGGAGGAGTCCAGACTGAGAACTGTGGGGGTTGCCGCTGGACCGGTCCCGATGCCCGCAATTGTTGTGAAGGCTGTAAAGAGGAAAGACTGGATTCAGAAGAAAGGACGAGAGGACGACTTTTATAATTGCCCTGTGTTCACTAACAAGGTAAGGACCTTACCATCAAGTTTTTAGCCCCCCCCCTCTCTCTCTCTCTCTCTCTCTCTCTCTCTCTCTCTGAAAGGACCAAAATAAGATCCGCCTGACCACAAATTAATGTGGGTTGATACTTGCTCCGCAATGCGCAGAATAGTGTCGATTTTGAGTGAAAGATTGTTCGAAATGTATAAGAAAGTTAAAGTCTAACTTCCTAAGCTGCTGTGGGGGTGGTGGGTGTTAACTTAATACTAATGAGTTTTCACTAAAAATTTTGTACAGCTGATGAAAATTAGGTAATGATAGATGCTTTTAACTTTTATGAATTAGTGTCTGATTTAAAAAAAAATTAATGAAATTTAGGAAAAAGATTAAACAGTTTTTAAAAAGTCAGAAAAAGATCGTACTTCTTTTTTGTTTTGGGAGAGCTCAAAAAGTCAAAACAAGATCGTTTTTCTTTTTTGTTTTGGGAGAGCTCAAAAAGTCAGTTTATGACCTGAAAAAATGAAAAATTGTAAAAAAAAAAACGTGCGATTTTTTCAAAAATTTTATAGAATCCTCACTTGGCGAAAATCTTAGATCTGCTTTGTAACCTTTTTACCAACTTTCAACTCGTTTTAGCAAACTTAAGTTTTTGAGACGTTTCAAACTTGGATGAACAAAATAACTGTTCGACGTTTCAAATAACATTGGAAACCAACTCATCAATGAATTCTCTGTTCTAGTCACGTGCTTCCTTCGTCACCAACTTGAATCTCCCGTGTGAAAACAACCCTTCAGTCTTCAGCAGTGCCGGGTAAATACTCTTCATGATCGTTTCAAAAACAAAGTAGTTTTTATTATGCCCGCGCACCCCTAAATTTGAAATTGACGTAAGTGTATAGCATATTTTTAGCTATTGAGATTAGCTTATTCTCTTCTAAATTCAAATTTGCCGTTTAAATGGGTGGGAGGGGCAAGCAATACAACAGAAAAGACCCACAAAATGCGTATGGTCATTTATTTATCACGGGTGAGCTGAATTAAGATAACTGGGCAAGTCTTTTTCTCAGACTTCAAGAATTTTTGTCGAACATACTTTGAAACGACTCCTAGGTAATTTCGAAAAGACTTGTTATAGATTTTTCTTGATTTTAGCTGAGAAAAAAAATTAAATTTTTATTGAAACGAATTCTAAAAATTTAAGAAACGATTGTTGAAGACTATTTTTAGGTTTAGTTGAGAAATAATTCAGAAAAAGTTACCGTTATCATTTCATGTTACGTCAGTACTTTTTTAGCTCCAGATCGAATCCCGCTCGCGCGGTTTAATTTTTTTCAATTCAAAATTGTTCTACTTTACTATGCACTGAGATGATGTCACCTGACACTGGTATTATTTTTCTCCAGTCTCACCTCGACATGTCTGCTGCTGGACGCTGGCCCTGAAGTGGTCTCTTCTTCCGACTCCAGTCTGAGCAGTAAGAGGATGCGACTGGCACACATCAAGTCCATCCCCAAAGACATCCCAGACGAGACTCACTCTGATATTATATCCACTGCCAGGACCAAACTCACCAGGGGTAACACTATTTAGGATACTCAGTAGCGTGCCTAATGGGGAGGGGGACCGCCCCCCCCCCCCTCAATTCTGGTCAGTAGCGGATTTAAAAGGGGGGGGGGGGATCAGACGCCCCCCGCAGGGATTCGACCCCCTACCGACCCAAAGGCTCCCCCTTTGCACTATTTTCAGATATCCATATTTGGTGATGGACCCAAAATTTTTTCTAAAGGCGCCTTCGGCACAAATCTATACTAATTTTGAGTCAAAATTTTCCAAAAAGTGCCTAAAAACGCCTTAAAAAGCAGCCTAAAAGGCAGACAAAAACTGTATTAACCAATCAGAATCGAGACAAGGAAGAAATTAATAAATACTCGCAGTGATGACAAAAATGGATAAAAATCGATCATCTATAGAAAATATACAGATTTCAGATCTGTTGTAATTTTTTATAGTAAAACTTCGATTATGTAGTTTTTATAATCGATTATAATGCATTTTGTTTTGCAAAATTTTAATACTGTATATCTCATTATCTAATCATTGCCAAACCACTCCAAAACTAATTTTTCTGTATCAAATTTTATGTATACTATAAACAGATTTATACACATTATCTACAGATTATCTACATATTATCTACAGAATACATACTGATTATACACAGATTACATACAGACTAAATACAGATTATATAAAGATTTTATACTGACTACAACACATTAAACACAGATTATACACTGATTTTCTCAACATTCTCACCAGTCAGATCGAATGAGTATTTTGAAATAAAATTATAATGTAGGCTTTTTATTGCAATTTTTGTACTGATGTTTGATCTAAAAACATTCAAATTTTTTTTTGTGTAAATAAGTTGCAGCAAAGCTAAGTTGCTCTGTTATTTTTTCTAATTTTTATTGATGTTTTTCTCACAAAATTGCGCTGAATAGGTTAATCTTTTAAATGGCATTTGAAGAAGTTTTGCACATAATTACTTTTCTTACCGCGGAAATCCTTAGGTTGTCAAATCTTAGAGGGATCTCTTGAAACTTGTAGTTTGCGGTGACCAATTTTCCTCATGTGAGTTCAGCTCACTATAAAACGGAGGAAAATTTTTCCTGATAGCAAATTTTTCTTGAATTTGTCATAAAAAATCATTAATTTAAATTTTGAAAGGTCAAAGTTGAAATTTTTACGACCCCTATAGTTTTTAGGCGATTTAATCAATTTGATACAGATTATCTGCAGGTTTTTTTGTATAAAGTTTATATACTGACAAATGCAGATTATCAACAGATTATATTGAGGTTTTACACCATAGAAAAATTGATTATTTTGGCACTGAAATCCATTTATTTTTGGTGGAAAAAAATGGATTCTATCAGTACAGAATCGATTATCGTTCGAAAAATGGTTGTAGATACACCAATTTAGTACGTTAGTTTGTAGATTTTACTGTATATAATCAATTTTCATCCATTTTTGTCACTGCGGGTAATTATGATTTGTTTCGTAAGTTTGCTTTCCCATCTCGATTCTGGTTGGTTCATACAGTATTTGTCTGCTTACTGACGAGTATGAATATGCGGTTGTCTAAATACAGACCGCGCTCTGGTTGAAATAACGTGAGATAAAAAATGAGAATTGATATTTTCAGGGGAGAGTCTTCAGGACTTGATCAACAGCATAGATCAGAAAGAAAAACCGAAGCCAGCAGTCGAGAGTGAAAAACATACTCCACGTTAGTTCACATATTTTTTCACAAGTAGTTCACAGATCGCATTTAATCGGAGCGGAATTTTTTGCAATACTTGTTTTTTTCCGAATAAATGTAAACGTATTTAAGGTTGCGTCAAAAGAAAAATTGGTTTAAAAATAGAATCAACGGTGACTGATTTTACAATTTAAACAGTCAGTGCACCGTTTATTTGATATTAGCGTTTTTCTTAGCTTAACTTGAATATCATGATTCGCACTCGCTCAAGTTAAGTTACTGCTATTTAGTGATAATTTTTAGTCATTTTTGGAGCATTCCACAACTTTAAACAAATTTAAATATGATCATTCAGGACATCAAATATTATTTGAAGTTGCATCTACTAAACTAGAAGAACTTGATTTTTGAGCCGGGGTTTTGTTTTTAGAATCTCGAAGCGATAGAACTGCGTCCTCTGACAAGAGTATAAAAAAGACAGCGAATGAATCGATGGCTGAAAAAGTGTCCGAACAACAGGAAAAGAGCAGAGTCCAAGACAGGACCTCATCTAGTGAGGGCAGCGTGAAGCCAGGAGGCATAGTGGTCGACGGAGGTGGTGCTCACCCGGGCGGAGAGGGGGATGATGTTGATGAGAGTTACTCGATGTCGCCAGGTTCGCAGAAACAAGACATCGAACGACAAGGTATGATGATTGAGCTCTGCATTAGGAGTGATAATAGTTTGAGCTAAAAAGCAGAAAAAATCAGAAATTTGACGGTACGTTTTTTTTTATAATTTTTTTACTGAGCGAACACAGAAATTACTGCAAAAACCTACCAGAGCGCAGATACACAGATAAGTACTTCTAATTTTCCTAAGTTTTATACGGATTTGAGAAAACAACATTGCTTCAAAATGACTGATATTTAGAAAGTTCTCATTTTTTTCGAAACTAAACGGTGAACCGGTCAAAAGTCTACTTTTTAATCGAAATATTGGGTTTTCGAAATTTTGAAAGGTTTGTATTCATTTTTTCATACAAGTCAGCCAATCACAGCCGAGATAACACAATTTAACTTAATACTCAATTCCTTTTTAGGCGAGCAGTTTGAATCGGAATCCCAAGAGTTCGATGATCTTCTATCCCCCAACGAGGCTTACAAGACTCATTTAGACTTCCCAATTGCGTCGCCAGATACTATTGATCCAACATCACCCGCAAACGACACCCCACGAAGCCAAAAAGCCGAACCACCGCAGGCTATTCATGACACTCCAAAATCTGAATCACGAGGACAACACAACGAGTCGACTGAAAAACAACCCGAGAATTACGAAGAACAATCTGACAGCCGAGATGTTTCCAAGGGCGGAGACGAGTCGTCAGGTCGAGTTTCGGAACGTCCGCGTAGCGAATCGAAGACAGAATCCGAGAAGGGTTCGTTTAAGAATCAAACAGACAACAATCCTCTTAAAAGTGATTCGAGACTGCTAGAACAGATTATAAACGAAGATCCTTGAGATACAGAATCTTCGACAGAATCATTGCCTACAGCGTCAAATCAACTGTCTATAGGCTATCAAAACTATATTTCTCTGTTGGGTTCATTTGAATTAATTTGATGAGCTTCACCCTTAGATTGGAAAAGCGAACTTTAACCTTGTTCATTGTAAATATGTATATTTTGTGAATCAGAGATCCAATTCAAACAAACTTTATGTATACGATAGCTTAAAATCTAAGTCGAAAATTAAAAAAAAAAATTTCGAGATGAGAGTGCATCTGCGGATTCGTGAAAAATATGCCCAATCGGTAGATAACTGAAAAGTGAATATACAAAGCAGGGGCGGATCTAGGATTTTCTCGAGGGGGGGGGGCGGATTTTCAAAAAATTTTCCAAAATTTTGACGAACTTTTTTTTTTTTTAGGTCGACCGAATTGATTTTTGGAGCTCTCCCAAAGCACTGTTTTGCCCCTATTTTGGCTAAATTTTCTGCGCCGCAGGCAAATTTTTGAAAAACAGGTGAAAAAAGCCGTTTTTGGCACTTTTTGGAAAATTTTGACAAAAAAACGCGTTTTTTTGGCGCGCGCTCCCCCTCAAAATTAGTATATATTGGCGCCTTGAAAAAAATTTGAGGGTCGGTCGGCCAAAAATGGATTTCTTAAAAAGTGCCAAAGGGGGGACCCTTTGGGTTGGCAGGGGTTTCGAATTCCTGAGGGGGGGGGGGGCGTCCGCCCCCCCCCCTAAATCCGCCCCTGATACAAAGTGAAAATACCAAAAACTGAATAGTGAAAGTACAAGCGAGTTGTGTTATCTATGCAAAAGCAGATAATTATGTTCATCATCGTCAAAGATGCAGCTTAAGCTCTTAGCGTTCCATTTTTGTCTCTTTGTAGTCAGTACAGTATTTGATCCCATGCCATGGCAATGATAGTCTGCGAGGACAAGCTCTCACTTGACCTCCAGCTTCAGGTCTACCACAACCTGACCAAATTTGGCTGCAATAGTGGTACCACGTAAAAGTTCTAGACGCAAAAAAAAAACGGCCTTGAGTCGCAAAAAAAACAGCTTCTCTCAGCAAAAAATTAACACTGTCTGGAATGTGGGGAGATAATACAAATGAACTATCCTCGACAGGACTGTTAAGGCCTACCGATAGCTCCTCTGCGATTCGCAGGAACTACAATTATTATTAATTAGTGGCTTGTGAAGAGTCATTAGTCCTTTCAGCTCTAAAATGATACTTTATTTATGCCTTCAAATAACGATTCGATTAAATTACCAGGAGTCAATCAAATACAAGGTCAAGTTTTGGTTGCCTCAACAATTATTCGAGACCAGTTCTCGCTCACTAAAATCATCACTTGAATGAAGTCCCAGATTTTAAGCCCGTGTTTTTACACTAGCAGAAAATTTTGTTATAATATGAAGTTCATTTTTCCCTACCTTACGTCGCAAAAAAGTGCTCATTTATTTGGCAAAGACATTATAGCTGGCTTAGTTGAGCTACATTAGCATTATTATTTGTATCTAGTTTATTGGTGCCTAGTGTTGATCAAGGTTTTCTTACTTAATCCGCCAAAAAAAATCTAAATTCTGTTGTTTTCAATTTATGAAGGTGTTCAGACAATTCGGTCACAGACAATTCCGCCAATTTCAAATTCAGTCAAAATGAGTGAGACAATTCGGCAAAAGACAATTCAGACAGTTTTAAAGTTTTAAAACGTGCGCGCAAAAAATTTTCACATGCGGCAAAACATCGAAGCTTTCATTAGACGACTTATAATTAATTCCTTTCAAATGCACATAAAAACAAATATAATTAAAAGAAACAAAAGTACCTAAACATAATAAAACTTCATGCAATTCATTAGTTTTCCAATTTTTAAATAGTACCTAAGCAAAAATAGAACTCAACAAAAAACTGCACAATACTTAAAAATTAACCAATTTACGGCAAAGTGGAACCGAGATTGGGAGTTTTACCGGCGGTCAAAAAGGATATCAGTTAAAGGGTTGACCACCCATATCAAGTACTGGCCACACAGTTACGCTGATATTCTTATCATGCCTTAGGTGGGGGGAGGGTGCAACCGCCTATTAGGTATTTTGGGTATTTGGTAGAAACTAATTAGAAACCTCGTTAAAATATAAACTAATTGCGATTAAAATATTGTCCAACCAGAAACCAGTACCGCGTTCAACGCCTACTTTTTGCAGTTAGATTGTCCATTTACACAATTAACAACAATTAACATTGATTAGTCTTCATTAGTAACTAGCTTGAACAACTGACTGATTAGTATCTGAATCATTCTAAATCTTTCACTTTTAGCAAAAGTTGTCGTAAAATGGAATCGTAAAATCCGTAACATCTGAACGCGGAAAACGTATCTTTGACTTGATGGCTAAAAATACATTGAAAAAACCAACTTAAGAACGGTATCATTAAATGGCAATGTACCTTTGGAAATTGCTGAGCAGTGGGTTATTTGGACGAACAGCAAGAATTCACCTTAAAAACCGAGCATGATCATTTACCAGTCACCAGTCTTACCTCGAAACCCTCAAAAATTCAAGGTAAGAAATTTGCTAACGAAGTTCGAGAAAAAGCCGCAAACACTGGTAACGCTCCCCGACAGATTAAAATCATCACTTGAATGAAGTCATCACTTGAATGAGCGTTACCAGTCTTACCTCGAAACCCTCAAAAATTCAAGGTAAGAAATTTGCTAACGAAGTTCGAGAAAAAGCCGCAAACACTGGTAACGCTCCCCGACAGATTGTCTTCAACGCCCAAATTGACCTGCCTCTTTATGCAGCGCCTACAATACCGAGTTACTCAACATCTCTTCGGAGTATAAACCGAATCAGGCAGCAAGACTTAGAAACAATGCCAAAACCAAAAAACCTTGAGAGCGTCGACGAAACTCCTGAACCTCTCAAACTCACACACAGCGGTGATACGTTCCTGTATTTTGATTCTGGTAAGTCGGACAATCGAGTTTTAGTTTTTGCAACATTACCAGCGCTTGATTTGCTTTCTCAGTCGGAAATCTGTCATTGCAATGGAGCGTTTTCAGTGGCACCAGATGTCTTTCACCAAGTTTATACTATTCATGGTGTAATCGAAAACGCAGTTATACCCTTGGTGTATGCTCTGCTGCCCAACAAGACTCAAGACACATATGAAAAAATTTTTGGCTGCCTAGAGCAATTTGGAAAAAAGTAGTCATTCGGTTGAATGTCAAAAAAATGATTTGCTTGGCATTCGTTCCCATTGGAGGCATCGATTGGCAGCTTCAATAAAAATTCGCGTCGATAAAGCACCCCGCCCTCCCCAAGCTGATCACACGTTTCAAAGATGAGCAAAAAAATGCCGAAATAAATGTAGAGAGACTGATGTCCGGCGGTTTTAGTAGAAAACCGAGGCCCAAGTATTCACTCGCCAATGAGAAACTCGTTCAAAACGCAAAAAAACTACAATCGAGACCATATACAGAAGTATTTAAAACTTTGTACCTTCAATGTACTTATATCTTAAAATTTTATGCATAGCAAGTTTGTTTTGATCTTTGAAAGTTGTTATTTGATGTTTCACATTTCTTTGTTAAAGTGTTGAAAGCCTTCGGACTCTAATCAAATTAGAAAAGTTTTAAATTTTCCTTTTATCTAGTCTCTTTAATCTAAATAGGCCGAATTGTCTTTGGCTGAATTGTCTGAAATTTTTTGGCTGAATTGTCTGTATTTTAAATCGGCTGAATTGTCTCTGCGCCTTTATGAATACAGTGAACAAAACACTGATCGCGCTGATTCGTTGATTAATACAAATGCCATCATTTTAATTATTAGACAATTTCTAACAAGTCCAAATTATGAGCAGATGTTTAGTATTTTTGTACTGCAGCTATTTTCTGTGTTTTTTTTCTGGTCTGGGTAAAACTGCAGATTATTTTATCACAAACTTGAATAGTTTTCAAAATAATTAGTATTTTAGCTCATTCGGTTTAATTATAATATTTAAAAAAACTGAACTTTGATGATTGGCTAATTCTAATCCATCAAATTGAAGCACAATAGTTTCATTTTAAAAAAACCTAATCATTCAAGGTACAAAACCACTTGTACCTAATATAAACACAGCGGAGCAATCAGTCGCTACCTGCCAAGGGTGCATGAATTTAGTGCTTTTGTAGTGCTTTTGTCGCCATGGTCATTACAATTCACTGGCAAAAATTTGCCAAATCAGGTATCGATTTTTGCGGCTTTTATATCCCAATAAACTTAAATCAGTTTAAAGGAAATCTACTTTTGAAAGCTAGCCAGAATTACTGCTGTTTGATCTATATGCAGTTTTATACAACCTCGTTATGTAATAAGCCTGAATGATTTTGAATTGAAAGTTGGATAAGTTGAAGCTTCTACAGTGGGTGATTTATGGGAGATGGCACGTCTTGTCCAATGGTTTGAGTAAGAAGCAGACTTGAATCAATATCGAAAATTTGATCTAATCTCACCGACCTTGTGTGTGTTTTGGAGAAACCAATTGTAATTTTGAACCAAACCAAAATAGTATAATAAAGAATTAACGTTTTTTGGGCTTAAACATATTGAAATATTTTTCACGTTTTTCTTCAAATTTGTCCGAAAAGCGCAATTTCAAAATTAATTTTCTTGAAGCTGTCGAATCATTGAAGCAATCACGACTAAAAAAAACTTCAACTTGACGTACCACGTGATTTATGTTGGTGGAGGCTTCTTGTGTTCCCTAATTTTCCTTGGAAACGAGAAGAGAAAATTTTTAAACACTTAACCGAAAGCAAAACTTCTTCCCAATTTGTGTTTCCTTTCCACCAAAACTGGTAACTAGTGCCCTCATGACGGTTAATGATGGTTGCTTTGAAATAAAAATTACCAGCTGCAATTTGAAACTTTTGAAACTCGATTTTTATTCGTCCGTTTTTTGAAATTTTTGCTCCGATTTTGAAGGAAAAAATTAGAAAATGATCATGGATGACAATTTTGGATGACAAAACGACCCTAAGTGTGTTGATCGGACTTGAAGCTTGAATACATCCGACGCAAGTTTTGAGCAAACTGTGGTTAAAAAATATCACCGCGCTTCAAGTTGCATCAAAGCTTGTATCTTTTTATCGGCGCTAAAACTATTGAGCAGAAACTATGAAAAACTAAAATTAGTGCCTTTTACTCATTTTTTGTT